GTGTCGATCAATAGTCGTGATGATCAGTCAGGGTGTCATGATCATAATGGATCTCTGTTTGTGGTGAACATCTGGAGTGTAGCTCTATCTGCCTGAAGAACAGGTGGTTTAGCTTCCAAACCCTGAGGAACACCTTCTAGCATGAACCTCTGACTTTCCTCCCTGAAGCTGTCTGCGCTGAGTCAGAGCAGAGACAGAGCCAGGGAGGAGGTGAAGGACAAGGAGGAGGAGACGCAGCAGATGAAGGAGGGTCTGAGGGCGGCGCTGGAGGAGATGACCACGCTGAAGGTCCTGCTGCAGGTACAGTGTCTCCTGCTGGACGCCTCAGACTGATCACCTTCATTGATTCACCTAAATGTGCTGCAATCTTCATGTTTTATGTTGAACTGCTCCTTGGTGTGGGGACCAGGAGAGCCACGCCGAGGGGGAGCGCCTGAGGAGCACTCTGGAGGAGAAGAAGGAGGAGCTGGAGGAGGCCGAGGAGAGGAGGAGGAGCAGGGTGGAGGAGATGGAGGCGGAGCAGCAGGAGAAGCTGAACGCTCTCAACTCAGAGATCCAGACACTGAAGGTCAGAGAGCAGCAGGTGGAGCAGGAGTGGAGGTCCAGGCTGGAGGAGAGCCGGGCTGAACTGAGCCGGGTCAGAACCACCATGGAGGAGCAGAACACACAGACCTCCTCTCTGAGGGAGGAGACGGAGGTGAGTGTTTTATAGAAACGCTCCTGACTCTCCGCAGTGACCTCCTCGTTATGAACCTTGGATCTTCTCTGGTTTCCAGCTGTCCTCCATGAAGCAGGAGGAGCTGAGGAGGCTGCTGAGGCAGAGCCGAGCTCAGGTAACCAGCTGCTACTCACCTGTCCTCGGTCCTTCACCTGCACCAGGTTTAAGCTCAGTCAGGCCAAGACTCGTACCTGCAGCTCAGTTTAAGGGTTCAGTGCAGCTTCTGCCTTTACAACTCCAGCAGCTCCTGTCTGGTTTATCTTCTCTGAGGTTCATGTTTCAACATGAAGTCCTGCAGCTCTGAGGAACCAGAACATGGAGGAGAGAACGTTGAGCTTCTGTGATGACTTATTTCACAAAAATGTACAAATCCTGCAATGAAAATGTTGACATTGATTTACTGTAGTTTTGTTTTGAACGGATCCCTGCACCTGTGTGTCTCATGTTGTTCTACTTCCTCCTCCTGTCTCACCTGAGTCTTGTCTCTCTGCTCAGTTCTCTGTGTGAGTGCAGTCCTGTGGCTTCTGTCACTTCACCTGTTTGTGTTCAGGTGTACTCTGTCTAAAGACACTGTGTTGGTGGACAGGTGTACTCTCTGACCCAGAAGACAGGTGAGCTGGAGAAGGACAGAGACCGAGTCCGATTGGCTCTGGAGCAGACAGAGGCAGCTATGATTGGCTACAGGGAACGAGTCCACCAACAGGAGCAGAGCCCAGGGGCGGGGCCTAACACAGAGGAGGTCAGCACATCTCTGATTGGTTGATTATTGAGAAGACAAAAAAGTCAGATGCAGGAGGAAGATGGTGGTTTGTTCTTTACACCTGGACGTCCTGAAGACCTGGAACACCAGGTAAAGTAACAGTGTGTTGTGTTCAGGCTGTGGGGGACAGACTGGAGGTGCTGCAGCGCCTGGTGGCTGAACTGGAAGTGGACCAGAACCGACTGAACAGGAAGAACTCACAACTGGAGAGTCACAGAGACAAGCTGAGGAGAGAGAGAGACACTCTGAGAGACACTCTGAGACAGGTACGCACACCTGAGACAGGTACGCACACCTGAGACCGGCATGCACACCTGAGACAGGTATATTTTGAGTGTGTTTCCTGTTGTGTGTCAGGTGGATGCGGAGCGCTGGAGGCTCAGACAGCAGCAGACCGGCAGCAGATCTCAGGTGAGACTCCAGCTCATCTCGCACCGGCTCTGCTAATGTGGCGTTACCTGTAAACAGTCAGTCCTACAGGTGAGACTAACGTCAGTGTCACTCTGTGTGTGTGTGTGTGTGTGTGTAGGAGTCAGCTGACACCACCGAAGAAGAACACCTGAGGAGCAGAGTGAGGGAGCTGGAGGACCAGGTGAGAGTAGAAGAAGAGCTTCAGGTGGGTTGAGGTGTCAGGTATGTGTTGATGATGATGTCACTGTCTCTGCCCCCAGGTGAGGCAGCTCCGCCTCTCATTGGCTGAGGAGCAGCAGCAGACGGTGGAGTTTATCCAGCAGTCGTCCAGAAACAGCCAATGGCTGCTCTCGCTGAGACACGACCTGAATGAGTCGCTGGACGCCGTCACACGCCACCCGGTTCCGTCCGTCCTGCAGTCTGAGACGCAGCGATTGGACCGCAGCCTGAGGGAGGAGGAGCTTCGGATGTCCCTCAGCCAGTCGTAGCTCCCCAGGATAAACGGTGGAACTGTAAAGCTGGACAGGCTCAGAAACACCTGGATGTTCCACATTTTGCTGAGTTTCTGAAAGGATGGTGATCAGCACCCAGGTGTCAAGCTGCCTTCTGATTGGCTGTTTACATCACCTGTAATGTCTCGATCCAGTGTGTGTGATTGGACAGTTCAGTAGAAGAAACACAACACTAAAGTAATGCAGAGATGGATCCAACGCGTGACCCTTCCAGGCCTCCGTAGCTTCACGTCTGTCCACAGTGGAGCTGCAACAAGTGATCCATGATCAGCTGTTAATCATCTCTGAGTGTTTCTTCAATGAGACTACGTTCTCTGGTTTCAGATCCTTCAGTGAACATCTTCTGGGTTCTTTCCTCTGTCACTGGACATCTTTGGACTAAACGAGACGTCTGAGGAAACTCTGGTCAACATGTTTCACCATTTTCTGACATTTTAGACCAATCAGCTGATCGATTGATCCAGAAAATAATCCTCAGTGGAAACATTGATGAGCTGCAGCTTCTGTTAAATGTGTGTTTATGAACCAGTTATTGTTCTGCAGACAGTTATTGATCAGTATTGATCAGAAGGTCTGGCTCCATGTTTACACACTTATTTATTGTTGTTGTTTTTACATCTGTTTATTTATTGGAGTCAGACCTCTGACTACATTTCCCATGATCCTCCAGTCTGAGCTGGAGGTCAGAGGTCAGATATGTTTTTGTATTTTGTTCAATAAACTGTGGAGCTGGACAGTGTTCCTCACTGACAGCCTTCAGCTTCACGTGTCTAATGTTTGCTTCTTCGCTCAGGAATTCTCGCTCTGAACTAAACCTGGCTGCTGCTCACAGCTAAACTTCCACATCAAAGTTCACCAGAGAACATGAACAGAAGCCTGAT